GTGTTTTTGCGAACCAAACTTTACCCATACCATTTCAATCAAATGATTTCATTTATTTTTGTGTTAAAAGAGGTTGTCAATTGGGAACAGAATGTATGTGAACTGAAATGTTCAATATTGACTCAGATCTTCTCTTTTTTATACCCTTAATTCCTAATCAAAAAACATTTTTATCACTACTCCCATATCCTGAATATATGAAACTACAATCTAGTAACTCCCATCAATGCAACCCCATAGCAGCTGGTTTGCTAGAAATCTCAATCTAAAAAAACTCTCAAGGGAGTTCCCCTCCCTGTCAAAGGTTATTTTACAATTTTTATGGAACACTAACTGTGATGATATTTTAGTATGTTACTAACCTTTGTGATTGCAAATTGCTTGCACATTTATGGAATGAAACCCTTTACGATTGACAAAATCGTTTTCGTTTTGATGTGGTGCCTGAATCTTGATGTGAGTGCCGTCAACACAACCAATCACCCCAGGAAACCCCCCCTTGGTGAAAAAACCGCGTTTGTTTTGAAATATCTCTGCTTCGGTCGATGGCCACTTGATGAAGTTTCCTTGTTTCTGTGCGAGGGCAAGGGAAACTTGGCTGATAATTCGGGACACGGTTGATTTTGACAATCCCAGAGTATCTCCAATAACTTGAAGAAAGCTTCCGGAGGCGAAAAAGCGCAACGCTACAAGGACTTGCACAGTTGTCGACAAGGCATGGTTTCGAGATGTATCTCTTTCGAGATCGTCGCGAAGGAGCTCAGACAAAAATTCTATGGACTCTCGACCAAAACGATATCGACTTCACAATTCTTCATCAGTGAAATCGTCCGGGGAAAAGTCGTCTGGAAGCCTAAATGTCCTTTCTTTCCTTCTTGGGGCCGGCATTAAGCCTAATCCGCCAACCAACAAGTCGGCCATTTTGTTTTGTTTGGGGAAAGTTTACCCTCGATTAGCGAGTTAATCCACCTCGCTAGGTGTGTTAAAATTAACCTTTATTTTAACCCAGGGGATAGCGCTAATCGCGCTTTCAGGAATAGAAACTAATCGTGGGTTAGATTTTAATCTTGGGTTAGGGTGATTTAATCGAGGGTTAGCGCTAATCGGCTTTCGAACAACCGGGGCCTGATATGTTCAAGTTACCGGAAGGAGAGGGGTTGAAACTATCAGGTTGCACTGTATTAAAATTGTCCTTAATTTCGCTTGAGAATCAGCAAACAAGCATCATTACTATCTGAGTATGAATTTACCCGAAAAGGAATTCAAAAGTCACATACTACGGATACGAAAGCTATATAACTTGCTACAATAGGATGCTTTCGGGAGCGGCTTATATAATATCTTGCGTTATCTTGCGCATGAGGAAATATTTAACTCTAGAGCACTTTCACTTTCGAAGGGCCCTGCATGAATAATCCATTATAATAATGACCATATGACTGCAACCGTTGGTTTCAGTGCTATATAGAAAGACAATTGAAGGCCTTTTCAGGTTGATATTAAGCTTCTTAATTCACAAAATTAATATCCAGATCATTTCTTATAGAACACTTCGAGGAATTTATAGTCATCAATAACCTGACAGATTAAAAATCACACAGCACTTTTAAGTTTGGGCAGGGTTGTCGTATCCATAGAACGTACCACTTTTAAGAGTAAATTTTACCTTTGACTTGTTCCTCCTTACCTGCACCAGTATCCTGTTTTTCCGCTGTTCCATCGCCTCTCGGTTGCTCGCTCGTAACAGGTGGTGCGATCTTTTGCTCTTTTGGGGGAATATTTTGACCGTTTGCCAGACGGTAACCACATTCCGGGTAGCATTTGAATCTGGGAAGCAAGTCTGTACTTCCACAGTTTGGGCACTCCATCGATTTAATCTACGGCTGCATCTCGTTATTTCGCGCTAGTCAACTCGAAGAGACAAACAGCCACTGAATGGTAGGACATTCTTCGTGTAATTGCATTTAAATGAGCCTTGGAAATGGCAAACTCGTTTCTCGGAAATCAGGCGGAAATAGCGAGTCTCTAAGCGACACCTGATTGGCTTCCCATCATGCATATGTCATGAAGGCATGGTAGTTAAAAAAGAATTTATTTAAGTGTATGTAACTCATTCTTTTACTCTCCTGGGATCAATGTATTGTGATGTATTGTTGTGTACCTATCACGTAATCTGTATTCTTTGCTTGCGTAACCCGTTTTGTAATTAACCTTTATCCAATAGTTTTCTTTCTTTTTTCTGTCACCTTGCACCTTGCGTCCACATCTATTTAGGGAACTTAAGCAGGTAATGAGGACGTGGAAAATCAAGAGATCTAATTGGTAGCACAATGGCTCACCAAGTGCGTTTTAAAGCTTTGTACATTTCTTAACCGTCCTTTGCTAAACAACAACGTGAAATCACCAAAATTTTTGTGTCGTCTGTGAACGGAAACCGCGACGGCAAATTATTTTAATTTGCATTTGGAACTCAACGTTAGGCTGAAGTTGAGGTGTGGGGCCGTATGAGACGGTAAACACATGCGGCCATTTTCGAAATTCTAGTCAATAACGAAGAAGAGTCGATTGTTGTCGAAAGCGCTTCGAGTGGGATACGTGAATCCACAGACGGCATTTCACATGATCAGAGCGAAGCGAAGGAATCTTCGGCTTCGTATCGAAAGCTTCAATCAACTTCCCAAGAAGACAAACCCAAGCCTAAGCTGATCGAGGTAGATAAAGAGGAAACCAGTCCATCCATTACAGGGTTCAGGTTCTGTGATATGGAGGTGCTATCGTCCGTTTTTTCTTTGCTACGTTGTGGCGAATGCGGCGATTTCAGTCTTTTGTTTATGGAAGATAATTTGAAACGGAAGGGATGTGCGTCAACTTTGCGTTTGCTGTGCGAGCAGTGTGGATGGAAACATTCATTTTGCACATCAAAAAAGCAAGGAAAGAGTTTTGAAGTAAATCGGCGAATCGTTTATGGTATGAGAACTCTTGGAAAGGGTTATGCTGGTGCAAGGAAATTCTGCACAATTATGAACATGCCTCCACCTCCAAATGAGAAAGCTTTCCTCAGCAACTCGCGCGTAATCGGCCGTCACATGAAAGCGATTGCAAAGGAAACAATGAAAAAGGCAGGAGAAGAAGTTTTATCTCTCAAGAAGGATGTAAATTCTTCTGAAGGTCTACCTGTGAACTGTGGTGTTTCTTGTGACGGAACATGGCAAAAGAGAGGCTACTCGTCACGCAATGGTTGTGTGACTGTCATATCTATGGACACAGGAAAGGTTCTTGATGTGGAGGCCCTAAGCCAAGGATGCAAACAGTGTGAGCGGCATGAACAAATGGACAAGAATTCTCTCGAATATCAGATGTGGAGAGCTGATCACACCACTTGCAAGTCAAATTTCCAGGGATCAGCACCTGCTATGGAACCAGAGGGTGCAGAGCGCATATTTCAAAGGTCTGTTGAGCTGCACAATCTCAGGTACACTGAATTTTATGGGGATGGGGACAGCAAGAGTTTTTCCAGGATAAAGAATATTTATCAAGATGCTGGAATTTTAGTGGAAAAGAAAGAATGCATTGGTCATGTGCAGAAGAGGGTTGGAACTGCACTTCGCAAATTAAAACGTGACAATCCAGGCCTTGGAGGCAGAGGGAAACTCACAGATAGTCTAATTGATAAACTGCAGAACTATTATGGCATTGCCATAAGGTGCAATGTTGGAAATTTGGCTGGAATGAAGAAAGCTATCCATGCTAGCCTCATGCATTGTGCCTCAAGTGAGGCACGCCCACTTCATGACCACTGCCCAACAGGTAGTGCAAGTTGGTGCAAGTATCAAAAGGACAAAGCCAACCATACGAATCTCTTTAAGCATGGACCTGGCCTTCCTTTACCTGTTATTGCCAAGCTAAAGCCTGAATATATTCGACTTAGTGAGAACAACTTATTGCAGAAGTGCTTACATGGCAAGACACAAAATCAAAATGAGTCTTTGAATGGCATGGTATGGCAAAGGATTCCAAAAGAAATTTATGTTGGAAGGGAGACATTAGAATTAGGACTTTATGATGCTGTTTCTTATTTTAATATTGGTTCAATGAGTATTATTAAGCTTTTCCAAGCCCTTGGTATTCCTTCTGGCAAATATACCGAGGAGGGTTGCAGACTCCAAGACCAGCTTAGAGTTAATATTGCGCAACATAAAAGCAAAGCTACTACCAAGAAGCGACGCAAAGTGATTAGGGGCCTTAAAAAACGAAAAGATGACCATAATAAGCAAACTGAAGGAGTCAGCTATGGCCCTGGTCAGTTTTGAACAATTCAATTCATGGAAACTGTGTTCAAGTCTTGAAAAAATCAGTTTAAAAACTTTAAACCAGTTTTCTCTCAATTTCGAATTTTATGAAACTACCGACACGCTAGCAAAGATAACTTTCCAGCGTTTTATTCAATTCTTCTCATTTTTGGAGTGAGAGATCTCAGTATATTTTTGCATGCAATGAACTAGAAACATACACTTAGGTGCATCTTTTGTTGTTAAATGACCAAAATGAGATTGCTCATCTTATCAATTCCTGAAAGTTGTTGTGTTTTCTTTAATATTTTCCATTCTATATGACTGAGAGGTGTTTCTGTAGTTCATTGCATGCAGGTGCATGTAAAGATCATTGTCTAAAAATTTTGTGAATTTTTAATCTAATGTTAAAGAGTTATGACTGTTCTTGTTTGGTTGCCCACCGGGGGGCATCATTTGCTAATTCTCAGCAGCAATAATAAAATATCAAGTCAAAAACTGCAAAAATACAGTTGTCTCCATGTGTCAATTTAGGTGATATAGATAACTTTTTGTAAAAAAACATGAAAAAATGTTGATTTTTTGAGGTTTGTACCACCTTAAGGTAAATAATTTAGCTTATTGTATTATCGTGATTGTTAGTTACTGTTATTGACTTATAAATATGTGTAAGCTTAACTTTTGGTTGTGGCGTGTTTTCTCGGGTTTGTTTATGCCTGGTGTTTTTTTTGTCTGTGTGTGTTAGAGGGCGCCCACCTTTGTGGCGCGGTATCCTCACAGCATAATAGATCACAAAATTGGATAATAGAGTAGACAATTGTTATTGAGAGAGCTTTGAAATTGGAGAAACAATCACACAAAAACTTTCAAGTTAACAAAACAAAATGTTGCTCCTGCTGAGCAGTGGCTTTGCTGGGGATGTTACTAAAACTGGTAACGGGGAACGGCGAACGGGGAACGGGTGTACAGCGGTAACCCACATGAAGATTTCAAAATTGCGGAGTAAACGATGTTTACAAACACTGATTTTATCGCTAGGTCGCCGCTTGCAGCGAAATTAGACGACTCGCTTTTATTTAACTATTTCCCAGGCGAAGCCACGAAGCAAAGTACTCCGAGGCGAGAATTCGAAGTCAACGTTTCTGCGATGGCTGCCACCATTATTTTGTTCTGACGTCCCTCTTTGTTTTTCCTTCCTGAAATCTACATCTTTTGGCAGAGTTTGGGTATGTTAGTTGTTTGCATTGCCCAACAGAATTTTTTACAGATAATAGCAGTGATGTAAATAGAGGTAATTTTCTAGAACTAATTCACTTGCGGTGCAAGGACATAGCTTGGCTGAAGGGTAAACTTGAAAGCCAGCTTCAGAAGCATGCGCAGTGGACATCTCCCGTGATACAAAACGAACTGTTACAAATTATCGCCGGCCTCATTCGCGAACGTATCATAAACGATGTGCGAACCAGTGGATGGTATGGTATCATCTTGGACGAAACATTAGACATTAGTTCCCCGTTCCTTGTTATCAATTTTAGTAACATCCATTCGCTGGAGGAGTGGGGCATTAGGGTTTGCGGTTTTGCGGTTTTTTTGTACCAAAATACGTCGGTTTTTCGGCTTTGCGTTTTGCGGATTTTCCGTCTTCAGCATTTGGTTTTCGGTTTTCGTCAAAAGTTTGGACGGGTACTTGGATTTGGTATCCGATGTGCTGTTTCGGTTTTTCATATTGGGGTTCCGAT